AGACTCCGCCGTGTCCCCAGCCCTGCCTGGTCAAAGGTGTCTGCCTTAGAGGGCTGTCTGGCACACCGATTGGGACCCATGGTCGGATGAACCATCTCAGTGGGAAAAGACCGACTAATTAGTCTGCAGGACTGAAGAAACATGGAAAGAAGGAAGGAAGGACGGAAGGAAAAAACAGAACACATGATGTAACGAGTTTATGTAGCACGTGAGCTGTTACTCAATCGAACATCGTTAGCCAAACCGATTCGGCATCTCATCCGGGCACCCCGGACATCTGGACCAGTGGCGACATAGGCGATGCGCAACCGGGTGGGGACCTGCGGATAGTCTGGGGCCAGGATGAGGTGAGAAGGCTTGTCCTCGTCCATTCCTTTGAGTCGTGTATTGTATAGCTTCTTGTTACTAGCTACTTGCTCCTAGTAGTACGGCCAGGAGCCCCTAGTAGCGTCCTTGCTCCTAGTAGCGATGCCCCTAGTAGCTTCTTGTTACTAGTATGTTTCAGTGGATCCATAAAGGCAAGAGTTTGGACTGTATGTTTCAGCACATTGAACCGCCAAGGACCTCTGCTAGAACAGGGTTTAGCAACCTGGGTAGAATTCGCCTCACATTCTTCATCAGCTAAATTCTACAGGCGAGGCTGAGGTCTGTCCATGGGCATATGGAAGGTGATACTGGTCTTAGGGGTCCCATAGCTTGAGACACACCTGTAGGGTTGTAGTGGTTGTGAGTCGTGAGTCCAAGCCAATCGCCATTAGCCATACGAATCTGTCTTCAATTGGGGAGACTTCCAAAAAGCTTTGGAAAAGACGTAATTAGGTATAACTGGATGAAAAGGGCAGTTGCTCGAGAAGTCCTCTTCCCCTAACGATCGCTCAAACCCCATGTGTGCGCCCCCCGCGCTGCGGCGTGCCCCCGTGCACCTTTCCAAAGCCTTCTGAGAGGTGCCGAACCTCGCAGCGTTTGGAGATCTTGTTCCGAGTCGACTAGACCAACTGTGGAGATCTTCACACCCTGAAAACTCGTGCTCAGCTATCGCCTGAAGGTTGACAGGGGCCAGACGTTCTCCGGCACTCTTTCCGCTGAGTCAGAGGCGTAAGGCAGAAGTTATTTGGCACCCAACACTGCGTTTCTCTTCTTCACTAAAACACTTCGAAGCTTTCCTCTGAGTGCTGACAGGCCATGCAAGGAGCATGTGCCGATCCAGAAAGACTTTCGAGGCTGACAAAAAGAAACCTCTTCTGGCTGGTGCTAGGAAGATGGACATCCAGCAATAACAAATCAGGTTCGCCTTTGCCTGCTGGTTGCTGGTCAAAACTCCTTTTTGTAGAATGGCAAATTTTCACGAAGAAAGAGATCTTTCGCAGACCCATCTCGAAGATTCTCGAAGCATGTTCCTAAAGGACGTCATGACATGTCTACAGCTGGCATGTGCGCCAACCTTCGATGGATCTTCTGGGAGAGATGAAAATCCTTTCACAAACCCACCCATCACGGATCATTTGTGAAGGGTTGAACGCCGGTTTAAAGGTCATTCCTTACGCAAGATATTTAAAGAAATGAACACACGGACCTTTAGATCACCTGCTGGCCCGGTTGCCGGTTGAATGCCCAATTCAATTGCCAACTTGGACCTCCATCAATCTCTGGTGTCCACTTCCAAACTTGTGCTACTGTCATCCCAAGCGTGCAAACTGTAGATAGCTATCAGGTTCGAGGCCATCGCTAGTAGTAACAAGGGCATCGCTACTAGTAGTAAGGACGCTACTAGTAGCTCCTGGCATTACTACTAGTGGCAAGAAGCTACTAGGAGCAAAGGGCATCGCTATTCGGTTGGAGATATAGATGCCTCCTGTCTTCACCTCTCAGGTGCCCCGACATTGCTAGGCGTAGGACTTGGGCTTTGATCCTCAAGAGCACGAGATCCCACCCGGTCACCCTCGCTGCTTCCCCATGTTTTAACACATTGAACCCATCTTGGGGCAGCCACCCGCCTGAAAACTGCGTTGAGTGTTTCTGAGTGCCTTGTGGTTTCGGGGCCAGATTCGTGTCTGGTCAGCCAACCCACAATTTGTCGGCAGTGTGCCTATGCCAATGCATTCTGAAGAGTTTCAATTGCCTCGCGGAAGTCTAGGAAGTTCCACCGCAGGGCTTTGACCAGGAGCCCCACTCATTCCGACCTGTGGAGAAGATCCTTGCACCTTCCAAACACACCTGACCTTCAATCGATTGGCATGCACAATCAAGTACCCTCATATGGGCTGGCTGTTGAATAGATCTATCTGAAACATTTCGAGGTAGGATGGTTGTAGTCCCACAAAGAAGTTCACCTTTTGGAGGAACCCTCAGCATCCAGATCCCAAAAAGGACATCAGCCCAGCTATGAAGGGTCTCAAAACATATCTTCCCTATTCCATTGAGGCCCAAGCAGGCGCCAGCTGGAACCTGGCAGGAACGGCTGCAACACGACCGACGTTCGGTCGTGGGCGGCAGTTTTGTTGAAGAAAAACATGGAGTTCTTTGGAGGCAAAGAAAGCTGCGCTGCCGCTGTGGGTATCTTTGACTTGAAGATAGTCTTAGACAGCCAAAACCATCAATGATCCTGCTCTCTTCTTGGAAGGCCGCTTTAGGTGAGGTGGCAGAAAAGTTTGTATTTCAAGTAGCCGTCCATGCAATTTGCTGTACTTCTATAAAACAAATTAAGGAACTTCAAGTCTGCACGAAGATCTTTTGTGGGGAACGGATGACCCACAGGCTTGTCTATCTGCCGTCACATTGGGAATAGCTGATCTTCTTGATCCGTCGGGAGTCCTCCAAGAAATCCGACTCTGAATCCGTCTGTCAGGTGCTATGTTTGCTTGGAGGAGTATATGATGTGCATGCATGCAAGTATAGTCCTCCAACGTCACAAGTTGTGGGTTTTTTAGATGTTCTTCAACACGTTTGGAACCGTGGCTCCTCCCGCTGTTTGAGCTGCTACTTGTTCTTCCAGCCTCTCCAACGCACGTTGGTTGGACTCTGGCCGATGAATACAACACCTCAGCGGATGGTCACAGAAACCAACGTGTTGCTGGTAGCGTCCTTGTTCCTAGTAGTAAGGCCAGGAGCCCCGTAGCGTCCTTGCTCGTCGTAGCGATGCCAGGAGCCCCTAGTAGCTTCTTGTTCCAACAAGTAGGGTGATTGCAACCTTTTTCCTCCCAAAACGCTTTGCTGCCTCGATGATCCATATGGGTCACTAGGGTTGCCATCCCCTCGACACCCTGTTGAGGGCATTTGCAAGTGTCTGTCCTTCGACACCACCTATCATTCCCCCACGTTCATGTCGCTGTGTGAGCATCTCAAAGGCTGGTTGTGAGCAAAAAAGACGTTAAAAACGAACGCTTTTCAAGTTGTAGAATTCGATGTCTTGAGTTGGCAAATTTCAGGGGTCAGTCAAAACACGTGACGTGTTGACGTTGAGAATGCTTGGAGGTAAAGAGCTGAGCTGTTTCCTGCAACTCGCGAGTGAACCAGTTGCCATGCCACCTACTAGTGACAAACCCATAGAGAGCGTGGAAACAATGTAGACTCCAAGAAACAATTCATTCCCCAGAGTCACCATTCATGTAGTCACCAATCATCGATGATGATAGCACATATAACATATAACTACTTAGATTCTTACAAATTCATCCCTCCCGCGGATGGCGCCCCGGCGGCGCCCTTGCGCTCTATAAGCTCTGGACAGTTGCTGCAGCACGGATCGGAAGCTGAACATCGGCGCGGCGCCCGGCCGACGTTGGGCCGGCGCCCGTCGGTGTCCCGAGGGGGGTGGACGGGGAGGATCCTGCGCAGAGCTTGGCCGGTTGAGTTCTCTGGGAAACTGGGTTCATAGAATCCATTGGCCAAGAATGGATCGAAAGATCTCAGGAATCGGAGACGCTCCCAATGGTGTTTGTTGTTGCCAAAACTATTCCTTGAGGTCGTCTGGAAGCAAGTGTTTAGCGTTTTTAGAAGCTCTAGCCAACAAACCTTTTCTGCATGTCTGCATGTACACATTGTCTAATAGATTACAAAATATACAAGCCTTGCTCTTGAGCTGAAAAGCGACAGTCAGGTCACCCATTGCCTCATTGGCAGGTTCTCCATGGTTTAAAGCGTTGAGATTCTACCAGTCAACTACCGCAAACTACAAAAAGAGACTGTCAGGTTCCTCCCGGCATTCCGCTCTTCTTTTGATTTCTTTTAGGGCTTGGGCTTGAATGAATATTCATGAATATTCAAGAACTGGAACCAGTGGCCTGAGGGGGGACAAGTCTACAATATCAAAGAACTACGAGTTCTTTGCGAACAAGCCATTGGGATTCGCGAGCCTCACCAATCTCCTGGTCTCGAGAGAAGTACGGGCTCAATTCCTCCACTGCTTGGCCACTTGACCCCGTGACCCGCTGTGTCCAGCTGTAGGTGGCCTGTACCAGACAGCCTCAACTGGGTCAAGGTCCGGCCACTTGACAGTCTCTTCGGGTGGCCGATCTATGTTCGGAAAAGCTCTGCGACTCTATCGTTTGATCTCTTGCGTGGAACCGTCTGATCCAGATCATTAAATGTTGTGAAGCAATGGGCATCAATCAACCAATTTACCCTGATCATCTGCCCTAAAGCTTTGGAGGGTTTGGAAAATGCTCCTGTGCCAAATGGAGAGGCAAGGCTACTTTGGGAGTGTCCTCCTGTCGATTCAATTTGAGACCCTCAGCCGGGTTTTTAAGGATCACCCCCCGAGACGGACCCAACTGATGCGACTGTCTTTTCAACAGTTTTCCTCTATTCTTTGCTTCCACGGCTCACCAGGCCCACCAGGCCCAAGCTGGCTTCGGTAGTTCCACATAATTAATGTCTGAGCTACAGCTATCTATCGGTTCCCTGGTTGTTGAAGAAACAAACAAACACAACTCAATGCTTGCAAATCCGGGAATTTGTAGGCCACAGCTGCCACAAATACATGATCACTCCCGTACTTCCGTGTCGTTTGCAGAAAACAACCAGGTATCGAAAGTCCACGTGGAAGGTCGATGCCTTGCACCGCCCTCCGGAAGCTCGTCAACTGGTCGGCCCTTGTCGGATCCCATCACGAAGAAACCGCTCGCCCCACGCGTGGGGCATCACACGGTGAGACGGTGAGCTCTGAAAAGGGAGATGGAGCTGAGGACGAGGACGTCACTTGGCCTTCTTGTCCTGGAAGAGGGAAGGGACTTCTAGTTTTGATAGTAATTAAAGCACATGTTCCGTTTTGTTCATGAAACTGTCTAAGTATCAGAAACTGCTATGAACATGTATAACATGTAGCATTGCTGCATATTGTAGCATCAATTCTTTGAAACCCTATTCCAGGTCACCAAACAATAGTTCTTGAAGCTCAGAATGCTCCCGGCCAGTGGAAAGTCACAAGAATCGAAAGTTTGCCTCTCTCCTCTCCTCTTGGAGATCCCTTCAAGAACCCTAATTAACCCAAATACAAATGATACAAACTGTCGAACTGACAAAAGCATACAAAAGCTCGGTTTCGCCAGATTTTGACCGCCAGATTTTGACATTCGGATTCGGGATCTATGTTGTCACATTCCTCCAGCAATGTCAGGCCTTTTTCTTCTTTTTCTCCTTCTTCTTCACTTTCTTGGACTTCTTCTTCTTCTTCTTTTTGCCTGCGAAGAGTCTAGGCGTCTAGGCATCCATGGTGACAATGGTGACCTTTCTGATTCTGGTTCACAAGGCTGACTTTGAGCATACTATCGCCATGAGGCCCACAAACACTGCAGGGGCTGATCGTTTCCCAAACAAAACCAGCCCCAAGACACAACAGCCACAAGAAACAATTCAGGAGCTCTCTCAAAGTTCCAAAGCGGAAGACCTCAGGTGGGGCCATAATTTCTGAGTCCTCCTAACCAGAAACAAGCTGATCTCTCGCTCACAGTGGATTCGCATCGCAGAGTCCACCCCCAGCACCTTCCAAACAAAATCACAACGACGAGCTGCAACGACTTGAGAAGGCCTGCAACCTAACAACTGGTCGATTTACCATATAATATATATATATATTATATATATTATATATATATATGTGTGTACTATCATGCTGTGCACTGTGCACGTTGAGTGTTTCTTTGAGTCGGATACATGCGTAATCTGTACTATCTCGAGACCAACCCTCACTACTTATCACTTCCTCCAATCTTGCCCGTACTTCGTCTGTGTCGACCCAATCAAGAAAACTATTCCACCTAGCATAACAAATGATACCTGGACCACCAGGTCTTGACATTCCGGATCTTGATCCAAAAAACAACTCCACCTTCCCGCAATGACCACCACCGCCGTCCCGCGCCTGATGAAGTGGACGATGCGGAGCTGGAGCCTGAGCATCACCGCCCAGCAAAGAACGCTAGGACATGCTAGGACAGGAATCATGGTAGTCCTGGTTGTCCTAGTGAGTTGGTTTCTGATATTTCTGAAAGGCAGTTTCTTCACACTGGCGAGGTGGATGCTCACTGTGCCTACAGCCTTTGCCACCCACCCGGAACTCAGGTAGGGTGATGATAGAGTAAAAACCACCGCTCTACTTTCTCCTGAGGCCTCTTGAGCCCAGCAATATCTTCCTTGGTAGTTCTTGGGATGTGAAGTGACCTACTGGAGTGACTCCTGGGAAATTCATTCTCAGGAAAGCAACAGCGAAGAGACAACGAAACAAATCAGAAACAAAATCAACTGGCAGCAAAGCAGCTGCCATTGCTGCTGCTGCTGCTGCTGCTGCTACTGCTACTTTTCTCCTTCTTCTTCTTATCCTTCTTCTTCTTCTGCTTCTGTGCCTCAAGAGCACTACAGGATGAGAGGCAAACTGCAAATGAGGCTTTGGTTGTTCTCAAGAAAGCACATTGAGACTATTGAACAATTCAGCCAGATTCAACCTGAGAAGCGTAGGCCGAACTATTCGTTATAGAATCAGTTGGTGCATTGCTGGAAGTTGTTTTGGGAGGTTGGGTCCGAAGTTGAAAACAATGTCGGCATCCTCATCCAAACTTCATGGGTGTTCGGTTTTGACGCTCATCTCTCCCTCCCCCCCCCGCAGCCTTCTTCTGGCGCTTTGCCTGCTGCTTGGATTGCAAGCGGATCACCTGTGTTGGTAGCAGAACGTTGGACTCGAAGTTTCCAAATGTTCAAAACCCAAGCTGTCTTTTTTGTTGGCAAGCTGATTGATCCACAACCGACACATACGGGGATTTCTTGATAGCCAGAAGCCTTGTCATATCCCTGAGGCTTTGGTTGATACGGTACCCACAGCAGTTGCCTGGCTTAAAAAGCAAAACGTTCATGGATATAGTTATTTATTTGTGTTGATCTCGCCTATTTGAATCCTAAGTAATATTAGATCCTGATTAGTAATCCGGTCCTCTATAATGCTAAATCATGTTTTAAAAAAATTGAACCCTATGTTTGTTTTTGTGAAAGGTGATGTGCACAGCCGGTGCACGCGTCATGCCACAAGAGGTAGTCTGGAAGTTACTATGCTCGGTGGTATGGGTGGGCAGAGGTTCACGAAACGGAGTTTTAAGGGTCCTCTATTATGCTGAATGTATTTGGTGCACTCATTGTTTATTATCTGAGACCAATTTGGATTGTAAATTCTTCTGAGCCCTGTGAATACGACCAAGCCAATGACTGGCCTGCTGGGATTATTGATGATTATACAGTAGGCTTCTTTAATTCTTCCTCAAAACTGACAGCTTCCCAAAGCCATCAATTCCTTAATCAATCCTTTATGTGAAGATTACGCCTAAACAAACTGACAAGGTAGTAGACTCTTAGTAGACCAGGAAGGCCCCTGATCCTAAATAGTAAATTTGTTTTGAGGGTCGTCAATTGTGCAAAGTTTTTTCATCAGTAAAGTTAAATTAACATAAATCTCAATACTACTAAGCCAATGGATGGCTTGTAGAGATTAATGAACTCAAAAGAAAGGATCATGAATACTGCAAAAGGAATCCAGGAATCCAGATTTGTTTTGGTGGTACTTTGTTTTAGAGGACCTCCCATTTGCTTAGAAGGGAGGGGGAGGGATCCCTTTTACTAATTGAATAAGCATCCGACATTAAACAGATCCAAAGATTGGGGCTCCAGGCCACGGGGGGCATCAGCACCCCCAAAAATAAGCAATTCTGGGGGGTAGCGTCCCTGACTATCCAAGATAATGAAACTAAAAACAACCAGTGCTGAGGTTCAAAGCCATTGTATCACCACTGATTCTATTTTAAGATACTTTCTCCAGCATCAGACTCACAATCCAAAATAGATTCTTTGGAGCCAAGGTCCAGATCTTCCAAACACAGACAGCATGTTTTAATAAAACTCCTATATATGTGATTTGCGCTGAAGGGGGCTGAGGTCCTATATTTCTTTTTTCATGGCAGCATCCCCAATTCCAAAGCAAATGAGTGTGGTCGCTGGAGATCCCAACGTGTCTCCAACTTCCACCCGAGCTCGTTTTGAAAGGTCTGACAAAGTCCGAAACGCTCAACATCCCCAGTAACAAGTGCATCGCTTCTAGTAACAAGTGCTTTACTAGTAGTAACAATGTTCGCTAGTAGAAACAAGTGCCTTACTACTAGGAGCAAGAAGCTACTAGGGGCTCCTGGCCTTGCTCAACATCCCCAGTCTACCCGCCTACCTCGATCTCATTAGCCTCCACCAGTCCACCCGCCAGGTAAGTGTCCACGACCTGTGGATTGTGTCAGGCTAACGCCAACCGGGACCACCGAAGGGGAGCGTGTTCCGAAGCCTTGAGGCATTCTCACTCCTTCTCACTCCTCAAAGTTCAAAACTGAAGACCCATGCACAACCCAGCTGATGTTTGAGAACTGTCTCTTTTGCACCAACATCGGAATGTGGCAGGAATAGCTACACAAATCGAAACCGGATGTCTACAAGAATGGACATGGCATATCAGAAAATAATTCCTCTTGTATCCTGTTGTTCCTTCAGAATCATGCGCATTTGCCTCAGCCTATTCTATATTTAGTCTAATTAGCCTAGTCGTTACCGATCTTATTGAAGGATTCAGCATGGGGGTTCTAGCAACATGAAGCAAGATGTACATTCTTAGTGGGCTTGTAGCCCCTCTTTATCACTGCTGGGGGTTGGACCAGGTAGGACCGTACACAAGAAAAAGACTGGACACTCTTTCGGACATGCCTCAGCCTATCCCAATGCCAAGATCGACGTTACACACCCCGATTCGGAGGAGGTGAAGTTTAAAGGAGTTCTCATTTTCGAACCCTGAAACCCTCCTGGGACCCTGCACCATGCCCCACAAACCCCACATGTTCCTGCATAGCCGGCACCTTCAGGAAGGTCATCGACGGGCTGAAAGCCACAGCCAGGACCTGCACCGTGAAAGAATTCGATGGTGGAGCTCACCATGCTTTCGGGATGCGACACCTGGGAGGGGGGGCAGTGGAGTTTCCAAACAAGCAGGAGAAGTCCATCACTGGTCAACTAAATGTACGAGGTGGGAAGCAGGTTTGGAGCGACCCTCCAACTTGCTTTGTCCGAGTCAAAGTGAGGCGCCCCAAACTGACCTCGCACGTCAGGCTGCTCGATTTTCTGCGTGACGGTCTGATCTTTACTAGGCTGGCATAGGCTGGCTAAAAAGGCCCATGTCAGTCTGAAGGAGATAACCGGAAACTTGGCAAATGGTTCCGGCTCATCGTTGATTGAAGCGGAAGAAAAAGGTTTGTGGTAAAACCCCTTTGAACCCAAATGGGGCATGAGGACAAATGTCGATGCTGTGCAAAGGTGATGTTTGGAAGGTCGGCCACAAGCCTTTCAGCATTCAATCAACATGTCAAAAAATATCGCGTCGGTCTCTGCGAATTGGCGAAAATTAATTTGCTGTCTGAGACAGCAGCACTGTTTCGAAGAACACAATACAGTGCAGTTCGCACCTCATGTGTGCGCAAACCCGCAAACTCCGCACGTCCAACAAGTTGCGCTGGACGCTTGGTAGAAGGTGTCAGGAAAAAAGTACTACGGCCGAGCGTCTCACAGCATGAGTTGGTCTTAAGGTAGCAACTGATGCAGTGGCATAGGACCCCCCCCAATCACGAGGCATTCGTCTACTTTCTTTTAATCAGGGGTCAGGGTCTACCTAGTCTGAGACGCGGCACGCAGCCAGTTGCCTTGATTTAAGCGTCCGAGGTTTCATTGTGAAACCGGTCATCGGTCGTAGGCATTCTACTGCCAACCCTGTGGCTTCCGTTGGGTGGACCTCAAAAGATCTCTCACGGATTGCGTCTTCCTTAACTCGAGAAGGGACAAGGAATGGCGTCACACTTAGGGTTCCCAGATTAGCGTTCAGGGAGTAGAAGTCCAGAAGCGTGAGAAGAGCTAAATTAGCAGCTACATGTTGCAAAGGAAAAAACCAACACGGGTGAGGTAAACGGAAAAGGCTGGCGAATATGCTGAGCATCCATGGATCCCCTGTTTCAGCTAAAGAACAATGCCTTAAGAATGAGGAGATCGACAAATCAGCAACGGCTAACTTCCAGTCAGAGATTACAGAACCAGGGCGTACAGTAAGACTGTAACGCTTTGCTGACCTCTATTCCTTTGATCGACCTGAAAGAAGATGAAAGAAGATTCTGTAAGACGGTAGTTGGTGTCACTATTTGTGACTTGTTCCAGTCCTAGACTGACCGCATTCATTATTTGTCCTGCCTCTTGACACCGAGCTTCTGGATTCCTTCAAGGAGTTCCACGATCTCCGCTTTCGATTCACTTCGCTTGGCCTGCTGTGCGACCTCCATCGGACGTCGGCCCTTGGAGGACTCTTGGTCTTTGTCGGCGCCAGCACGCAAGAGCAAAGAAACCAGCTTGGCATCTCCCATCTTCACTGCAAGATGCAACGGATACCTGGGGTGTGGACTCTACAAACAAGAGCACTGTAACTGTCTATGAGAATTGGGTGGACACCCCTCACAAGGAGAGACAAAGCTAGAAATTCTTCAACACAGCCAAGCTTCAGCACTTCCTCCTCTGCAAAGAGGCAAGAAGGCCTAGGAAAACGCCTGCACCGTTTCTCTTTTCTCGTGGTATTCACATCTGTGAAACCATTCTTCCACAAAAACTCCAGTAGCTCATCTTGCCTCGGTCAGCGCTCATGCGAGAGCACCGGCCGGCATGGAGTACTCCCATGCTTCGCTTCCACAACAACACCTTCTTTACAGTTTACAATGCGGGTGGCCTACCTTTGACAACCATACTGATGGGAACTGTGTAACAATGATAAAAGTGTTATTCGGAAACTAAAAGGTGATCTTCGGACACTTTACGGCTTTCTTCAGAAACTAGTCTTCGGCAACTTTACGGTTTCCTTCGGAAACTAATCTTCGGAAACTAAACGGCTTTCTTCCGAAACTTTACGGCTTTCTTCGGAAACTTTACGGCTTTCTTCGGACACTTTTCTTTGGAAACTAATCCCCGGCAACTCAAAGGTGATCTTCGGACACTTTAAGGTTTTCTTCAGAAACTAATGTTCGGACACTATGAAGGGCAACATCAATCCTGGTCGCGGTGGGGTTCTAATCAGCTGTTGCCCGGGCCATGACCCGCGTGAACCTCCTCGAAGCTCCCTTCTTGGGTTTTTGACGCTGCTCACTCATGCATGCAGAACTTGCACGCAATACCGTAGCCGTCACAAGGTACGACAATAACCCACCCACCCACCCACCCAGTGCTCCTTCATGCAATTTGGTTACAATATGGTAAAAGTTCTGAAGAATACTTTCTGAAACATGCAAATAAGTTTCTGAAGATCGCGAAATAGTTTCTGAAGAGCACAAAATAGTTGTTGTTTCTGAAGAGTAGTTGCGGAAGAGTACCAAATAGTTGCGGAAGAAAAGTTTCAGAAGAATGGAGAGTTGCGGAATGGAACTTTGTTCGTGTAACAATAAGGGGAACATCATCCCACCTCCCTCTGCACAACGCTTCACTACGCTGCACCTGCATTCCCTATCGCTCAACAATAGGCACCCGCAAACAGGAGACCTAGGCAAAACATTGCAAAATCACGAGATAAAGAATTCAGTCGATTCGAGATTTGTTTGCCTGTTCGTCGTGTAATTATATCAGTTGTTTCTCGGAGGAGGCCAATACCCGAGAGACATATGCGCACCCTAGTCGCTCAATACGCTGCTTTGCACGCCGGTTGATGCACCCCTTGGTCGGTACGGGGTCATCGTCATCATAGGCATCCCAATCTCCCTCATTGGCATGCCCATGCGCCAAAGAACAGCCACCCACCTGGGACTTGAGAAATCTGGAATTCAACTTACTATCAAAAAGCCTCTATGTATCTTCGTTGCTCTCTTTCAGTGGTTTTCCTACAGAGCACGCTACTCGAACAGCTTGAAGACTGGCAAGATTGGACGACCAGTTGACAACAATCTTTCTTGCACAAGACCAACCAGGCCATGAAAGAATGGAATCTCTTTGTATCCTGGTCACGTTTAGTCGGGGCGGGTCTGCATCAGGCACATTGAGGATGGGAGGTCGTGTCGGCATTGTGCACATCAGGGCATGAGGCATGGGGCCGGAAAAACCTGCAGCCATGGCGGCGGCCATGTCGGCAGAAAGCCCCTTGAGCTCAAAGAGATCCACGTGTATTGGGCTGCCACATGTGATCAACAATATATAAGAGATTGCATGCACCTGGATGAACTGAAAGAAGACCAGGAGATACAACCATGATTCAACCACATCAGTTTTCACTGAAAGGATTTCGTGGGAGCTTGCACGATAACATTTTACATTGAGGCTGGCTGGACAGGTCTGGACCTAAAGTGACAAAGTACCTAAAGTGACAATCAGGCCATTCCTGTTCAAGCGACAAGCGCGGTCTATGTTGATTGAGACCAAGCTTGCATAGCAGCGTGTACAAAGGCCGAGGTCCAATTCATCAAGCCTTCTAAAGTGGACCAGCCTCCGAGACTGCTGTTTCAACACGCCAGACTTGTGCGCTGAAGTTGGCACGGACCAAACATGCACAATCCGTGCATCAACTTGGATAAAGTGTTGGTCAGGAAATACTGCCAAGGCGGGTGGCAATCTTGTGAGGTAGCCAGCGCTGCTAACAGCGGGCATGACACAAGCATGTCACTACACCAAAGCAGTCTTTGCTAATCTTTCATTCATGAATTGAAATCCCAGTGTGCTGGGAAGCAAGAATTATGTAAACCTTCTCAATTTATGCCCAAAAAATCTTCCACCCCTAGTGATGGACGAATCATCCACACGTGACAAAAGAGTCGTCCACCCGCAGGTGGCTATCCAAGTAGAAGTGACCGATCGCATGTTCCAGTGGTTCCCGGCTTTCTCCGGTTTCGACGTTCACTCCGACCGGGTTCGGAGTTTGGACACCACTTGGCGACAGCCAGACATGCGAAAGCGACAGCCCATGCGACACACCGGCCTTTTGAATCTGCTCGAGCACCAGCTTCAGATCCTCGTGGCGCTTTTCCACCACCTCCCGGAGCTTGCGTTGCGCCACCTCGAGCGCCGCACTGGGCAGTCTCGGATTATCTCGTTTATGTCATGGTTAGTCAAGTAGAGCCATGGTGAAGTAATGTCAGGGTTCTTCCTAAGATTGCATGTTTTCTCACCGAAAGGGCAAAAAACGGTCCAGCAATTGCGAAAGGAAGAAAGGACATACTGCAGTGACTCCATGAAACTCACACAAAATCATCTCAAATCCAATAAGCCGTAAGCTTTCCTGGAGCACAAAAAGTGTTTGACCCTGCCTCATTCTGAAGAATAAAGGACATCCATGGAATCTTGCCTGAACTTACGGAGTGAGTTTGGGCCTCAGCCGGCCTCCACCTGCAACACAAGACAGTGGCTGTTTACCCCTCAACCGAAAATCCATGCTTCTCGCAAGCACGGCCAACAACCCACCCACAGGTCCACCCCCTGCTCCCCACAGGTCCCAAGATCCGCCTGGTCCAGTTGCGCCGCTATAGCTTTGGCTTCAGAGAGATCAGGCAGCTCTGAGAGCCTCCCCAAAGGGCAGGACAAAAGCTGCCGCAGGGGATTGGATGGTGAAAAGACCATATTATACACACAGGTCATTGCTGTCAACTGGGACGCCTTCTTCCCACACCCCTCCAAAAACATGTGTTCACCCAGTTTGTGGCTGTTCCAAGTGAAAAGCACAATAGCTACTACTAGCTTCTTGTTACTAGTAGTCATGCACTTGTTACTAGTAGCGATGCACTTGCTACTAATTATTCTATATGTAGGACATACTCTTTATGAGGCCGAAAACCTATCAGCCTATCGTCGACAGTGGCTTTGCTATGTCTCTATCATATATATAACTACAGTGCATTATTCTTTTGCAGTGCAAAGGCCTCTGTGGAAACTCAAAGGCTACCAGGCTAAATCCATGGAATGTCAACATTGTCGCTATGATTTTGGTGCCCATCTTTACTTGAATAGAGGGTGCTCTAACACTATCATGCGTGATCAGGGGAAAAACTTTGGCCTTACCCAGGTACACTCATCTATTGTTTCCGCCGCTTGCGTTGCAATCCCAACACACCAACACACTCCAAATGGACACACTGCACCGCAGAACTCTCGCCGCGGCTGCCTCCCTTGCGTCACCTCCAGCGGTTGGCTATGGGATGTTGCTCTCGAGCGCCACAAAAAAGTGAGACACGGTCCATCAATGTTCTATCCACTATCCATTGAAGAGCTGATTCACAAAACTCAAGAATTGTCGTCCGTCCAAGTCCTACTTGGAGATGTATTTGTCATTTTCTGAGACTATCTAGAAGAAAGCTTACAAAGGTTTGCAAGTGACTATGCCGCCCATATTGCGTATGAGAAATTGCAAAAGGGACCCAGCAATTCAATCATATCAAAAGGAAGAACCATTCAACTTTTGTGCGTAGCTCCCTATTCGACCCTGGCCTTTTTGATCAGCGACTCCGCAGTGAAAGAGGTGTCCTCACACATCTGAAGGTGCTCCTCCAAACGCCGGTGATCCTGCAGTCGAACCCATCGCCAAGCCACTTCGGGATTGCGGGGAAGCTACTAGGGGCTCCTGGCATCGCTACTAGGAGCAAGGACGCTACTAGGAGCTCCTGGCCACACTACTAGGAACAAGAAGCTACTAGGGGCTCCTGGCATCCAGAACATCTCTTCCAGTGTCAACGCTACAGTCCTCTCCTAGTGGCAGAAGGATTACAATAGGGTCCAACCAATGGGTTCAACATCATGTTTTATGCGTAGAGCGGACAGCAACACCTGGTCGGGAGAGCTTCAACATTGAACATCCCTTGATGTTCAGTGCGACTTCCCTTCCCTGTTAGTGCCTCTCCTTTTCTTTGTGGTCTTCAAAAACAGTGTTTGGACAGCAACATCACCCTGTAGGACCCAAAACAAATGCCTGTCCCAAGAGGAACGTTGATCGCGTCATGTTTGAGTTGCAGATCCTCCAAGTGCCGTATTCAGATGTACTACCGGTAAATTGGATGCTCCATTTTGCCATACCCTCTTCTATGTCTGTCTTCAACATGCGGGACAATGGCACGCGATACTTTTCATGCCTTCGCCCGAGGCGAAGTTCAAGAAGTTCAATGTGGACAGGTGACACTGCAGACGGCCCAACCTACTGCACTTGGTTTGCCGGTCATCTTGTCCAAATGAAAGGTACGAGACCAATCTCGGAAATGAAGAATCATCAGGTACACTGGAGCCAAAGGCTCCTCACCTGTGAGATTCAGAAAAAGATCGCAGAATTGTTCTGCCATCAAACAAGGAATTTCAAACATAAAATCATAGCCCACCATGCAAATCATGATTCGGCCGTCGGGATAAGGGCAAATTGTCATCTGATCTGGTTGTTCTACAAAGGCAGCTGCCCACTGTGCCACAGGGCCGTTGGCCTGTTCTTTGAGGCCTTCTGTACCACCTGCCTCGCGTTGCTTCGCGACCCGGGCACGCCAAGCCATGTCCTGTTCCAGCAGCTCCGCTGGAAGCTGATGGTACATTACCTCAGCAATTTCACCAGCGCATCTTTGTAGCTGAAGAATCAGCTGCATCAGCATTTCAAGCCGTGTGTAGCTTAAAGGTGCTTTGCCACCCCATCGCTGACGTGCCTTCAGCATTCCTTTGCTTACTACGGACCCTTTCGGCTTTTCTGGGCGGCCAGTGACCCATTCTCGCGCACTGTAGCCAACCTTCCTGCCAGACTCTTGGATAGTATCAATGATATAGGACTGAAAGACATGAACACGTCCCGCACGCTTCTCAATCACGAGGTGGTGGCCAATTTGATCCAAAGCCAAGAAATGAAAGCAATGAGGCACCGCATCATTTAGAATGCGTTGAACCATATCAGTGTCGACTTGAAGTCTTGGTGGTTGGGGCATGTCTTGCGTGAGGATGTTCCAAAGGATGTCTGCAAACTCATCACATCGGTGCACATGACCACATCTGCTGTCCGGATGCTGAATGGCAGCTCTGGCCGTGGCAAACTCCGCTTCACCTGGAAGAATGACATCTGCAAAGGACCAATCAATTGCATCCAACTCTTTTGCTCCAACACATCTCACGCATTCGGGTTTCAATGCTAGTGTTTTAGGATAAGCGGCCACTTTCACTCGGCCAGTCTTTGCCAGTTCAGCCAACTCCGCATCTTGTGCTTCCAGAATCACGCTGTAGAGACCATTCAAGTCTGGTCTGGACGTCAGGCCCTGCAGCTGCACCACTGTGCCATGTGCCATGCCACCCATGCCGACAGCCATGCCAGTCACACCTCTATGCTCGAGCTGGAAACTACCTCGATCACTGGTCCAGCTCTCCAGCTATGCGGAAATTGATATAGGCGTATAGGTGTATCCATTTGAAAGTTCTTCAAAGAAAAATGAAAGAGAGCGAGCAGTGACAAGTGGCTCTACCTGCACTTTTTGCGGTCAACAATGTGCTTGAGGACTACTAGGCTGTTTCAATGTGGGCAGAATCTGTGTCAATTTGCTGAACTTGGGACGTTTAACGGACAAATAAAGCTCACTCTCGTCGCTCCTCTTCTTGGCTCTGAGGTCGCCGTACTCTTAGCTCTACTAGGCGGCACCTGGAGTGTCTCGCTCGATTTCCCTATTCGCTACCTTTCACCCGAAGGCTGGTCAAGATCCGCTGTGATTCTCTCAGCCGAGCTATGTTCCCCAATTCTGCCTCTACCTAAAGTCATTGTGTGTGTGTGCGCAAGCGTCAAGGATAGAATAGAATCTCACTAGCAAGTTGTAGAAATGGGTTGCATGTAAGCCCACTTGCAGGGTGTGTTTATTCAGAGCTGAGGCAAAAAAAAACACTACAGACTCTCCACTGTACTCATGTCTGGCCTGGCCGCATCGTTCAGACGATACTGTTCACACAGCCTGACAGTCGACGCCAAACGCAGGATTCCAGGCCGATGATGGTGATGGCTTTGCATGTCGAAGTTGGATTCCAAACCAATGCAACTTGAGCTACTTGATCTTGCGCAATCCTCATATGATGCCAGACTTCAAGGGGAGCCCAGAAAAGATGTCACCGAGAAGACTTTGTGCAGACTCGAGGAACGAATACGTCTACGCAAAACAGTGTGGTTGTTAATTCAATTGCTATCTCAACGACCACCAGCGGCTCCAGAGGTGCCTTGGCACGAAACATGACTGCTGGTGCATTGGTCACCTCAAGCTATTTAGGGGACTTGCGTACCAAGTTTGAACACTTGTTGATGTTTGGAAAGTTATGTATGCTAAATTACAAGGTTTTGGGAGCAGCAGGGTGGTCTTAGCACAGGTCTCCATCGTCGTTTCGGTTGTGGAGGCTGATACCTATGTTTTAGAAAGGCTGAGATCATACCGTCGTAGCATCTTCAGGGTCAGTCGGGTCAGTGGCAAAAGCCCTGGCCTGTCAATGTGTTCATCTCGCTTGAAGTTCGTCACCTCGGAGACAAAGTGAGACGTAAATGTGCACCACACCTATTGGAAACTGACTCTTCCGCTCTAAGGGGTCAAGAAACGCAAGAGTTCCATCCAGACCGCGGGGAAGTCGCAGGTTCTGGTCCAAAGTTGGTTGGAACTTTTGAAGCAGCTCCTTCAGCGTACTCCAGCAAGCTGTGTTTGGTAAATGATGTTCTCCTTCCTACAAGCTTAGCGTTGGCTCCTCACCTCGTCAATATTCCCCTTCCAGGTGACCAGGTGGGGCCTATCTTTCTTTGGGGTAGTGAAACTATGCAAAACTGATGCTTTCCTTGACCCCAGGAGACTAAGACAAACGTCTGCAGATCTTCCTCTAGTCACTAGGGCTTGGATGTCGCTTCCTGCCTTCCAATCCTTTGTCGATACGTCCTTCCTGCACTAAGATGGTCGCGAGGCCTATGAGCGCACAGCACAAAAAGAACGGTGTTATGACAAAGGAAAGTCAACCCCCAGAAAAGGAGAAGAAGTTGCTTGCTGCATCCATAGAATCTCCTAGAAAAGGCAAACCAAACCCACGTACTCCATCTCTTGCGCTGATGCCAGGGCACGAACTGTCCATCCTCCATCTCTTCCGTCTTGGCCATCAACAGCCTTGAGGGGCTCCTTGCAGTCTCCAAGATCTCGTACAGCTTTGCCAAGTCCCTAGGAACAGGACGCGAACCGAACGGGGCGCTCTTGGCCCTACTAGGAACAATGTTCGCTATTAGTAGCTTCTTGTTACTACTAGCGATGCACTTGTTACTAGAAGCTTCTTGTTACTACTAGTAAGGCACTTGTTACTACTAGCGATGCACTAGTAGTAACAAGTCCCTGAAAAACAACGGTGCTCTTCTTGCGTCGATCAAAGGCTGACCATAGGTGACGCGACCACGAATAAAAAACCTACGACCGAACGGTCGGTGATCCTGGTGAAGAGGAGGGTTGTTGGAAACTCCTTGATGCATGACGCTCAGACTTGCAACTTGCAGTGTGCATACGGAAGAACAGCCAGGTTGTCAGTCGAGACAACATATCTGGGAAACGCCAAAACCCAGTGACAGGAGCCTAGAAACAATTCTTGGGTCATGTTTCAGCCTCCCTTTAAGAGAAATATGGAGACCCAGGAACCCATGGAACACATGAGGGATGTATTGAGACTGGTGTTTGTGATTGCCTGACCATTGATGGAAGCAACCCTGCAGCACCTGGAACACCTAATCGAACACATCGTAAATGCCACCTGTAACAGCAGGAGGTTTGTCCACCTGAAATCATTGTGGAGCTCGACACCTCACGCCAGTGGGTTTGCCACGATTCATTGCTAAAGTAGGTTAGTGCTTCACATACTGTAAGCATCCATTACCTTACTTTTCAGGCCCGGGTCATGACCTACCGACCTTGTGATCCTAACTTGGAACATCTTGGAACAGTTGTTCTATGTGGATGTTATATACATAGAGGATATCAGGATATCACAAAAACATTCAAAAACATCAAGTTTCCATCCGAGCAGGGATTCTTTCTACACATCCTCCAAGTGACACATGCATCACCCGCACAATCTGGTGATGTGCACTCATTGTAGTTACTGTTGGTCCAACTAAACAACTCGTAATTGAAGACACTTTGGCGGGGTGTTGTTGGTTTCTGTACAAGGGATGGCAAGGGCGCATCATCCAAATCCTATCCGCGAGCGAGACGCGTCCGATCTGTGCCTCCTGCGTTGCTCCGGAGAATGTTTCTCCATGAGCTCATCCAGCCTCCCATCGAACAAACAACAGCAATCGAGTGTATACAGGGAAAATCACAGGAAACTGGTTCTTTATCATCTTGCACACGGGTTTTCCAATGTTTTCCAATTCACCGTGTGCATATCCTATGCATTCCCTTATGAGGAAACAAGGAGCATCAATCTTCTAACGTGTTCTCATTTTCATGTTATTTTTGTCCAATGCTCCCTTTCAAAGGGTGTTTCTTTTTCGGATGTGACACGCTTCGCCCTTGGGCCGGGCCGTGCGCCTCTCCAGCGTCACTTCATCGATGCCAAAGAAGCCTGAGTCGCTCGGGAAACGTCTGAGACCTCCGCACCATGGCTCCAGCATCCTGTTCCGGTTGGTCGAATTGTTGCAACCGGCTCTGCATGTCAGCGGACCACCACGGACCACTGGGAACACCCATGTCCCGAAATGGCTGGGAACTGCAAATCTGAAGAAAGGAAACAGAAGGTGTCGTCTCTCTGAACTTTGATTTGAAATGATTTGAATGGTCATAACTCCGGAGCAACCTAGGGCGCGTTAGGGGGGACCCCTGCAGATAAAGATTCCTTCCAAGCGGCTCGCCAGCCTTCGCAAATCACGGTCTATGGTCTTCTGCCCGCCTCAACTCAGGCCAAAAAGAGTGTGGCACAGGGACCACCCATGATCACCCCCTAGTTTCCCTTTTCTCAACATGTCCTTGCGGAAGGAGCAATCCAAATCCTTGACTTATGGCTTGTGGTTCACCCCACTGGAGGACAAATGTGACTGTCATACTGTGGCTAGCTTAAAGCTGCCGTCATCCCGTCCACAATATTTTGCAATCTCCACAAAGCTGATGGCTGCAGGAACGGTGTTTCTGGATTGCAGTATCAATGGAAGTCCAGGAGTGCTTCGAAAAGATTATCGGGAAGTTTCTCTGGAATACTCTGGAATGTTCGAAGTGACAAAATGGTGCAAGTGTTGAGGTAATACGGTAATCAGCACTCGTCCATCTCGTCCATTGCGGGAGAATTACGGAGGAAACAAACCATCCATCAACCCCGCGGGCTTGGGAGATCTGCAAGATCCTTCATTTCAGATCCTCACGTTGCTTCAACACCATGACGACCTACCGCATTCCTCACATGGTGACCGGCCTCTGGAGGAGACGACCTCTTCAGCTTCTTGAGCCTCGAAACACGAGATCTTTGGTTTCAAACAGTGAAAATAAATCCTAGCAGGTCCTAGCGTCCTAGCAGCTTCCTAACAAGCTTCTACCCCGTACATCCGGGGACCAAAGAGCCCTTCTGCGAAATGTGGATGGCTACATCGCATCGCTCTTTCGGTTAGCAGACCATGGACTCAACATCAGCAAGGCAACCTCTGTCCCGCTAACCCACACCGCGTGAGTACAGATGAACCGGAGCACTCACGGGTGGCAAGTAAATGCCAGCAATCCAACTCTGGGAATCCTCTCCGGGGAACACCACAGTGATCAAAATGGGCTTGCGTATGCTTGCGTGAAAAACATTGAAACACCCTATGTTGACCTACTCCCTCTCGATCAATCGAGTGGCTCACGGAAGGCAAGTCTAAAAATCCTACAGTGGTTTGGGTCACTTGGGTTCAGCACTCGAGACAAACATCTTCCTGAGCTCTGTTAGCCTACCCGTGGTTTACCAGCAGTCATGCACCACGCATCGACGCATGCCATTTCTCCATGGCGCCTGTCCCTGGTTCCAGGCCATGTTGGCCATTTGCATCGGGTTCCTCAGCAACTGTTGAATGGTTTCCTGTGAAAGAGACTATAAAATAGAAAACAAGTCTCTCAGGAAGCCATAGTGAGCATGACATGGTCACTTTCCGTAAGGACAAGAAAGCACCTCTCAACATTATCCATAGCTGCTTAGTGGAGCATCAAAAGAACTTCCGACCCCACGAAGAATATGAGAAGCAAGACGACAACGGCACAGAAGAATAAGAGTTGCCGCTACCTCCCACCTTGAACTCAAAACAGAATCAAAGTGTTAGCCCTTCGCCCTTTGGACTTTGTCAAGGAATGAACCAAAGTGTCTAGTTGGTCGAACAAATCCACACGTCGTTCCCTCCAAGAGGCACGAAAGTGGGCATGCCCGCAGCATCGAAGGTGGGCATCCACATCCTCCTTCCTGAACCGGAGGTCGGCTCAAGCACTCGGCATTCTGCGGTGCAAGTAGTGGGCCTCTCATTCGGCTGCATATAATGCCATTGGCATTTATGAACCACGGATGATCTGGACTTGTAAAATTCACTGCATAGCGAGGCCTTATGGAAAGCTGAACGTTTCTGCAAAACCTGCATCTTCCAGAGTTCCCACCAAAGCAAAGGGAGTCAGTTCCTGACTGCGCCCCTCTTCGCCGGGATGAGTGTGGGATCCCATCGGATCGCATGGGATTCAATACGGGTCGAGGAGTCACCAAGAACAGTTCTATATGAGCACCTATGTAATCCCCCAATGAAAACAAGAGCTTGGCATTCAACCACCCCACCCTCCGATCACCAAGCCACCAGGTTGACGGCATCAAATGCCAATCTGCAGCCGATCGCTCCCGTGTCTCGGTCACTCACGCGGCCCAGAGCCGCTGGGCTTCAGGTTTCAGGTCCAACGTGTGCGAAAGCGGAAGTGGCAAAAGGCGACGTCGAACCCTTAGGTCTTTTCGTGAAACCCCCGGTGCCAAAGGCCAAACGCCTCTACGCCCTTCCGTCGCTTTTTGCAATCTCTACCATGTGAATGAAAGGGACACCAGCACCCCGATCTTCATTGCACGTCTACAGGATTGCAGTCAAAAGGCTCGGTTTGATGCTTCATTTTCAGATGGCATTCATCCCCACCTGCGGCAACTAGCTCTGATTTCTGATTTCTCTCCCAAGCCAACGAATCTTGTCTTGGTCACAGCGCGGTTTATAAGTCCTGATCCCTGCCCAAGCTCTGGTGGCTCTGGCGAGACAGGCCAAAATTCAGTTCTGTACAAGACTCAGAAAGAAGAAAGACAAAAAGTAGAAAAAGATGAGCCAACCAGCCCTGCCCTCTTCAAGGGCCTGACAAAGGTTGGCTATGCGAAACCGCGCAGTACGACCACGAACATGACCACGTTCCAGGCAGCCTCAGCTTTAGCCGGACACACCACACACATGTAACCGAACAATGGGTGTAAAGTTCAGAAGGCCACTGCCCTGCACGAGTCTAGTGAATAAGCACCAAGTCGGAATAGTTAGATTAGCGCTGTTCGTTGGCCGGACTCTTGTCAGGAATAAGGGAATGAGGGTGTATCCCTGGTGAGATGCGTAATTCGTGGCTGCTTCGTTGTGTGTGGGTGGGGTGCTTGGCAAGATGTTGTGACATGTTGCCTTAAGTGCTGTAAGTTCTGTTGTCTTGCTTTATGTGGTCTGTTTGGTAAGATGAAATAACTTCGACTTGATTGCCGATATGTTGTCACGTTCGTCATTCAACATATCTCAAGCCAAGGATCTGCTTGTTTGAGAACATCGCACCGTTCTAAGTTAGCTTGAAATTAGACAGTTGCACACCCCGTGGTACTGGGGGACGCTTGCCTTCAACCGAAAACTGGAAGCCTGCACGGCCCAAGGGCAGTTGAAGGCGCAAAGAAATCAAGCGCTGCTAATGCATGCTCTAGGTAGTTTGCAAATTATATAGAATATGTTGATCTGATGGAATTCCATTGCAGGTCTAAACCAATCTAGACCAATGATTCAAGTCTTGTTGAGACCATTGGAACTGCTTACCCAAGAGGCCAATGTCGGTGACGAATCAAAGGTTTCAGGCTCCCGATACCGGCACGTGCCTGCGAAAGCAAAGCACTCCGTCGGCTCCACGTGAAACGACCTCCCTCTCTAGTGTGTTCAAAGAGGCGCAAAATCTTGAAAGAACGGCCCTTGTTACAAGCAGCTTCTAGCTGCTAGTAATGCCCTCGTTACTAGTAGCGATGCCCTTGTTACTAGGGTCACTAGCAGCTCAGTTTGTGACGCCTCAACTGCCTGGGTGGGATCGACAACAGCAGAATCCGCCTTCCCGGTAGTGGCAGCAGCACCTGCACCAACAGGCAGTTCCATCATCTGGGCCGCAACCGTCACCATCGCTGCCTTGGTACAATGCTATACACAAGCACTTCCTAGGCACCAGGTAGAATGACCAAATAACGACAAAACAGCGACTACAGAGTCAACAAAGTGAATGCCATATATGTTGGTTGCAAGCACCAAACACAAAACCTGCAAGACTCCAGTAAAGCCTGCAATCTATTGGAACATGTCATGCTGGAACAGTTATTGAGTCTGTGGGTTGTTCAAACTCTTGGGTCTAACGAAGACTGGGCAAGTACGTTGCATCGCCGTCCTCTCCACCAAAAGGCTCAAAACGGCAAATCCGAGAATACAAGGAAACAAACTGTTTTACATGATGCAAAAGCCTGACAGCTTATTAACAAAACTACTATAACATCTATAACCCTTTAAGATTCTGTCAAAAAGGGCGATTGAAGCGGATGCGTCTCCGGCCTTGGAACGAATGTTTTCTTGTCAGGGTGCTCGTCACGAAGCCACAGTAGCACTCGGACACAAACGAGGGCAAACCCGCTCCTGATCAGCGTTGGGTTGAAGGCAGAAATTCTGCTTCAATACAAAAGCCAAAGGAAGGCAAGGAAAACTGTAGCGAAGTGCTCGAGTCAGAGCTGAGCAAATACTAGGCGAAGAGAGGCTGCAAGCTGCTGAGGCAGTGAACGCTGGCACCCTGTTGTTAAGATGAAACAAAGGGAGTACACATCCAGTGACGGCGTGATGCGTTCACTTGCACCCATCAATGACGCACAACTTGCAGGAAGGATCACACCGAAGGGGGCGCGCACAAGTTGATCACACCGAAGACCTTTGCTGGGTGGTCTTCAAATGGTTGTTTCTGGGTTCGTTCAACAGGTCTCTGCAAGGCTTTGCTGTGTTTGGATGCAAGTTGTTGACATCAAAGCTGCTTGTGGCAACTTGTGCTCCTGTAGGGTGCTATTGCTGGTGAATAAGGCAAACCTGGACAATGCTCTGCCGGTGGCCAGGTGCTGTTCTGTAGCAAGGTTGTTTGTAAGCGGTTCAACACCACCAAAGCATGTGTATGTTCGCACTCTTTGCAGGGTTGAATGATGCAAAACAAGCGCGCGCACGGTCTTCATTCGTTTTTGCTGGCTTTCCCTTCCGGCCCATCGAAGCAAGATCGCCATAGTTGTACAAACAGCATTGAGGGATAAAAAAACATGTCAAACTCTTTCTTGTTACTACTACTGGCTTGCTTGTCTAGTCAGATCATTGTGCCAGAGCCCACCTGGCAGCGGACAGTTGCTGCTGTCAGGGCTACCTGCCAGTCAAGAGCTGAGAAGTCAGGGAAGTTCGCGCACGAAAAGCTGTGTAAAGAACAGCACCAACCTAATCAACCTTGTTCCATGACTTCAAGAATGACATGTAACATCATCATCGTTGCAAACCCCAAAGCCGCAAAGGCGTGTTCTGCATCAGGTCTTCGACTGTTCCAGTCGATTCTATTCCTTCACCTCGTATGGATGGTGTCCCAGTTGACGTCGTGCTTGCAGCTAGGCCTCCAAACAAGACAGGAACGTCACATCCAACCAATGCAGCACGGGGTGCTTCAAGTGGACCGCTGTACAATTGCTATTGAAACAAGCAGGTGAGAAAAACGTATTCGTTTGACAGGATGACAATGTGCACTCCTAGTAGTCTGCCATAGCCATCCAATCCCAATTTGACTTGTTCAATCAAGCTCCGACCAACCACAATGGACTTCACCCCATATCGTAAGATCATGAGCATGTACTGCCATGTGCAAAAGTGGTATCTTGCTGTTATTTGACAATGTGGTCTGCTCCGCAACGCACCCCACAACAAAAGAGCACAGATGAGCACACGAAGTATACGATGGGTGGCCCAAAAGCTGGACTATCTAGTGTGCAGAAAGGGTGGTGCAAGTATGTTCAGAGTAAGTATGTTCATGTTGAGCAGAATCATTCTGCACACAGTAGCTTGTGAGTGAACACTGCAAGGGATAAAGTACTCCGTGCAAGCAAGGGCTTTCTGTGCAGAATAAAGCTGTTGCTTCCAAGCAATTACTTTGCACACTCCGCGGTCCTGTGTAAATCCCAAGCCTGTTCCTTGGACCGATACTTCTGTGCTGCTTGGCGCACTGAGGGTAGTGCCTTTCAGGCACGTTTATATGCAGAACAACACAAATGCATAGAATTGACCAGTTTTACCATTGGAAGCGCCTTCCGAGCTGAAAAGTTGAAACATCAATGTTCAGAAAGTGTTCATTCCAGCTAAGGTATACACATATTAATATATATATACATATATATATATATACATCATTGAGCAAACTACAGATGGCAACACAAAAAACATTAATGTTTAAGCCAGCTTCCTCGCTGCGTCCTAGCACCACACACAGCCTAGTACCAGCGAAACCTGCTGCGGCATGATGAACACATGTTAAAGGCATAAAAATGCCTCACACTTGCATACGTCCTGGTCGCGACATAAGTCTAATGAGGTAGAGAACGACTGTTTTTGTTTGATGCTCTTGCTGATTTGCATGCAGGTGTGCACTTGCAGTAAACGCATTAAGCAAAACTGCATGAAAATTGGAATGCACTAGGAGCAAGAAGCTACTAGTAGCTCTGGCCTTACTACTAGGAGCAAGCTACTAGTAATTGGAATGCACAACCTTGCAACCTTAAAACCGACTCAGAGACCCTGGACCAGAGACCTTGGATTCTCAATCAGGCCTGCTGCGCTGGTCGAGGCAAGCTCTGTGACCGATGGCCCTTTGCCTACACAACGGACTCTGCAGGTGTCATGTCATGTCACTGATAAAAGGAGCGCATTGAAAAGGCTGCACCAAAAAAAGAAGCAGCAAGCCCTTCAACATTAGGGCCTATTGGGGCTGTCAGAATGCGAGCCTGATGGACATGTGCCGGCTGCAGCTCCAATGCAGGCATCACTCAAGTAGAGTTTCAATCCTTCCTGGGCAAGCTGAACTTCAGCTGAACATTCGTCTAGTCTTTAATCAACCTCAACCTCCTAAAAGAACTTAACATCTGACATATCCTGGTCATTTTGTGAACATCTTACTGGCTTAACCGAAGAATGTCTCAGGCATGGAGTTTCTCCACATCAAGGACTTTGTGGCTTGTTGAAGCTGTTATGTATATCAAGTGTATGTCTTTGTGGCCAAAAGGGGTTCTGTCACCCTAATTTGTTTGGCAGAGCTTTGCAAATCAATGTGATTCAAAAGCACGATCAAAGGCGTTCAAAAAACATTTCGGACCCATGTTGCCTTTGCTGTTCTTAACCATGCACTGGCTCGCCATGATGCTGGTACATTTAAACATGATTGAACCCACGCTTGTGAGGGAATCAATTGAAACGATTGCAAAAATAAGAACAAATGCTGTTACTTCGGGCCAAGAACTTAAACGGTCTGGCATGATCCAACTATGTCCTCCTCTTGCTACAGGGATCCTTCAGCGGCTTTCTCTTTTGGCTACCACTGCTCGATCGGACCCCGTGAAGCTATGAGCAATCAAAGAGATAGTTCAGCATGTGGGTGGCATGCATGTTGTGTCTTTTTGGATCTCTTTCTCTTTACACAATTCTCACTGCGCAACTGCGCAACTGGGCATCACTTGGAGTGTCTGAGGTGGGAGCTATGGTGTGATGTGGAACCTTTGCAAGAGGCTCTACATTAGATAAACATATATAATTAAGACTACCAACTAAATAATGTGTTATCAAGTGAACTTGTTTATGTAATGCGTTCGCGCAAAGTGTGTAAATACCTCTCAGTAGAAGCTGCTTGGCGTATCTGAATAGAAGAGCTCTCAACCCGGTCCATATGTGGCGAGGATACCTTTACCTATCAGACTCTTGTGCCATCAAAAGCTCGGCCGGCCATGATTGGGTGGCATAGTCAAAGGAGTAAACTCCAATCTGTGGCCCATTGGTTGCAGCCAGCATATTCACCTCACAAGTGTGTAAGCGCGTCATATTTTGATCAGCCATCCTCTCTCTGTTTTGCACTCAAAAGAATGAGGACTAGTTGCAGTTGAAAATATATAACATGGGAGATATGTTCAACCATTGCATCTCATTCATCCTGAAGGCTAAGCATAATATCACAGCACACAATCCAACAACATAAGCTCACCTTCAGCTGAAGCAAAGCCTGGGGCTTGCACCGGCACATTGCCTGTGTCAAGTGCCTGGGAATCCACTTGCAATGCCACCCCACCTGCAATGGGCAGAGTCAAGCTGCGTCAATGCTTCAACGATATCCAAGAACAAAGCCGAATACGACTAATTTCCCTCAGAAATACGACCACGCCAAAGCGATGCCACAGCCATTTTGTGCCTGTAGCAGGTGTGAAGACCACCTGAATGTGGTACCAAACCGACTCTTGGATCTCCTTCTCGCCGGTCCATGAGTTGGGATAGTCGTCGGTCATAAACGTGATGAGGCGCAACTTGCCATCACCTTTGGGATGGCCTCGTCATACACGGTGTGAGAAAAACACACTTTTTCCGTTGCTTTTTTCGAATCACGGCCAAACGGCACAATCCAGGTGGCATCGCTACTAGGAGCAAGGACGCTGCAAGGGGCTCCTGGCATCGCTACTAGGATCAAGAACGCTACCGCTACTAGGGGCCTTACTACTAGAAGCAAGGACGCCACGGCCAATCCAAGCCACTTGGGGGGAGAAGCCCCAAAATGTTGCCAGCGTCTGTCCAGAATAGAACCTTGACATATGCTCCAATCCTCAGTGTGCGCAGTGTGCAGGATCTACTACAATAGCATACCAGTACTCGGGACAAAACTCACGCAAAACACAAAACAAGCGCCTAACCGCAATGTCAAAGGTTGATGCAGGTGATCTTGACAATCTAGGAGATGCATTGACAAGGAACATGTGCAAATGAAAGTCGCTCTGGCTGTCTGGCAACAGAAAGACATCCATTGCAATGGTTTTGCGTATATTATATAGTACTTATTATCAAAGGACATTTAGATAGAAACTTCCGACTGACGGAAGCAATACAGTCTGGAGAACTGCGAGTGTGCATGAAGGATTTGCGTGAACAATATGTAGAACGGGTGCTGGGTTTAAAGGTAGAAGGCCAAACAATGCGCTCAGTTTATGGCACCACTGCGCCTGCTGCATGGTTGAGAGAGGAGCTCTGTCACGTCGTTTGGGAGGACATGCATGGAACGCAGTGCAGCGATGATAAGCATTGGAGCAGGTATTCGCATTCGGAGGCTGGCGTGGGATACAATTCCATTGGTCAACACTCTGGCAGGTCTGCCTGGCTGGCTTGAGTTCGCTCATCGAACGTGACTGCAGGCTTCAAAACTCCTTGGCAGGGCTACGCCAAGTATAGATTGGGGAAAAGTACAATCTAGAATCTAGACACGCGTGCAGAACAGTTGAGGGATGTTGACGGAGAAGCAGAGGTTTGTTAGTGATCCCTGCAAGAGGCCCCGAATGATGACGGATAAATCAATTTCAGGACTCTAAAGTGCACACATGAGAATACGAAAATGACAGCTAAGCACATGAGAGCAAACATATGAGAGCATACATAAAAACTCAAAAAAGGAGAGCACACATGCGAGGGCATACTGGACGTCAGGGCACACTTTTGATACCACACACATGAAAGCAAACATGCAAAGAAACACATGAAAGATGATGAGAAGCAAAATACAACAAAGCACAGGTATGTGTGCTCTGGGCACACATACCAGAGCGCACAGTTGAGAGCACACGTACGAGAACACACATGAGAGCACGTGCACATGAAATCTGCACTTCGAGGCGCAAAGTGCCTGGACCTGCCCACACAGCGCCGCGGAACCTTCTCCAGCCACAAAACCCAAGCACGTCAAAAACAGCCACAAAGTCCAAAGCGCTGCGCGGCCAATCGCTGCCACAAAGACAAACAGTATCGACGTAAAACGGCTCCGACCTCTTGCACCCACAAAAAGTCGACTAGGAACAAGTGCATCGCTACTAGTAACAAGGGCCTTACTACTAGTAACAAGAAGCTAGTAGGAAACAAGAATTAAGAATAGGATTCCCTGTCTTCCACGAAAAGTGACCCCCGGGCCCAGCAGCTTGCGTGAGCCTACGCAGTCGAAACACACCCACAAAGATCTCGAGAGGCATGAATGTGCTATAACTGGCAGGTGAGCACCCTCGATCAAACCCAGCCTTGACCGGAGAAAAACAGACATGATCAAACAACAAAGAAACTGTTAAAGAACAGGCTGCACCTCGCCACATTACGCTTCACCACCTTGATTTTCATTGTATACAAATCACCAACAAATACGTGCTCACTGCGTCACGAATCATCGAATTTACTGCACTACTGCACATCACATCACCCAACACACACCAAATCGCCACATTACACATCAATCACAGCTTCCAAACGTCCTATGGGTGAATCATTTGAAGAAACTTCCACCCTACGGCTCTGCCGGAAATTTTCCTGGTATTGAGGCCCCAAAAAACATTCAAACTTACACTGTTGCACTGTCAATGTATCACAAGACAGCATGACGCGAAAAAACAAAACACAATATAACACAAGTTAAATCAAGTTAAGACAAAATGACTTTTTAGAGAGTCTCTGCCCACACTCTGAGCACAAATTTTCAGACCTCCCTAGGCCCCCACGACGGTCATGTCACAGCCCTAGGCCGAAACCTTTTGTCTGGCTGTCTAATCTGGGAAAGTGCTCATAAGAAGTCACAAAAGTTTGACAAAACTGTGACTGTTACTTTTCTGCGAGTGTCAAGCTCAGGCCCTGAACCATCAATGAGAAAGAGAAGGTCACCTTCTCGGAAGTCCAGCACTCGCTGTATGCCTTGCCGTTGCAGAACTGAGCATAGGCAAAAGCTCGATGAGGTGCTTTGCCCAAGGCATCCTTGCAGGGAACTAATTTGATCGATTTAGTTGATTCTATTCACCTTCATGTATTCAGATGTTTCTCTGTGTACAATACATGTTTTGCCACATCAAGCCTGCCAATATTTAGTATGTTCTGTTTCAGCTTGGGCCCTGCCTGTACAAACAGCTGGTCGGAGCTCCAATTCTCCCTCTTGTTCAACTCGTTCATATCATATCAGTAAACAGTTGTTTTGATATGTTTCTAGTTGGATGCACACTACCCAACCCCGTCGCACTTCATCCCTCAAACGCCTCTCCAACCAAGATCTGCCAATAGTTCTCCTGCGTCGGATGAATTAAATAAACATCGCCTTCGTCCAGCCACTTCCACAAATCGACCCGTTAAAATGAAATTAAACAGGCCAGCATGCTGTTGAACCCAAGAGCGATGGCCTCCACCCTAGTAGAGATGACTGCTAATGAAAACCAAACTGACCAACATGCTGTTCAAACCTGGAATTGACACAGACCATGTGTTGTGGTCCTGGAAGGTATACTCTGTCACGCAAGCTGCTGCCCCGCTAAAGCCACCATTGCTTCCACCCTTAGCGGAAGGAGAAACCGCGGTGCAATCTCAGCATCTGGCTTTAGACCATCAAAATTTCAATGAATGGGGGTGTAGTCATTTACAATAGCAGTCTTCTTTGCAAGCGGCCTGCAAGCCTACACAAGGATAAAAAGTCTGCAACAATAGCTGCAGGATCCCAAAAGTGATTCGTCCTCTTCGAGCGTCAGAGATCCAAGGGTTGGCTCCGCCAAAGTTTTGACTGCAAAAATCCGCTCCCAAGGCCTTGGAACTGTTTGCCCTGACAAAATGCTGCAAACCGAGCTGTCTGTCTGACAAGCCAGCTGTTCGAAAGTCTTTTCAGCAGAGGCATCTGGGATGGATTCATGCGTGTAGGAGGTCACCAATCTGTTGGGACACCCGGGCCTCTCCCCTCACCCACTCAGCGACATGCTCACCTACTGACCATCGAATTGCAAGATATTGCAAGGAGAGTGGTCCGAAGTTCATGACACGTGAAGACCGTGGGAAAAGGGTTGACAGATGTCCAGCTGGGGAATTTTCAAAAGACATGAAAAGACAACAAATAATGCAAAATTGCCTGCAATAGAAAATGACAAAAAATGTATCTACTTCTTCAAAGCCTAGTCGCATATTGGGCGAAGCCACCATTCCACTCAGTGTCAGGATTGCAGTTGCATTCCGTAGCAGCCCCTGCACAGTGCTCACTCCGAAATGACTGCTCTCGTCAAACCACCTTCGGACCTCGGCCTCAGATCCAGCCCAGCCCTTGTGCCTGAAGGCGTGGTAGTTTGGGGCTCAGTAGATTCCAAGGACACCTGCGAAGTGCTTTGGGTGATTGGTGCCAAGCCAATGTCAGAGATGCAACCTCAGCCATACCACATACAAACACTTCAAAACACACCCTGCAAATGCCAGTTCTTGAGGAACATGGTTGCTTAGCAACTGTTTTTACCATGTTAAGCTTTGCCGTGACACCTGGTGCACCAATGCTGCAAATGCTGTAAGTAGCAACCGCCGGGCCGATCAAGTACTGTTCTTCTGGACCTTGCCCGTTGTAGACCTGTGACTGGATGACAAACATCTCAACGATCTACAGGAAAAGTAGACAAGCTAAAAGCGTGAGCCTTTCTTCCTAAATGCAGAACATGTTTTCTGACCTCCCTGACTTGCTTGAAACAGGCACGCCTTCCGGTAGCCTGAAGCATCCTGCATGCATCTCTTTCATGTGGCACGATTGACATAACACATGTGTCAAACCTCCAGTGTCAATTGGAAAATGCGTTTGGCTCCTGCGGCAAGTGCTCGATGCCAGCGATGGCTGTGATTGGGCTCGGCAGTGTTGGTCCAGCGGTGCTCGTGATCTGCACGGTGCAACGCCATCGCCAAACATCGAAAGGCTTCGGACGCTACTAGATGCTACGAACGTAACAAGGAGCAAGGACGCTAGTAGCAAATAGCTACTAGTAGCTTCTAGCTAGTAATGCCCTTCTGGCCACCCAAAGGGGCCACCCAAAGGCTTCTAAGATGGTTTGCAACGCTATGGAAGTTGTCGAAGATGCCACAAGGTGTGCAACTTTGGTGAATGCCGCTTAATAAGATTCGAGCTACACAAAGGATGTCAAGCCCAGAATACCTAACGCCCCCCTGTTCAAAAGGCAAACATTGATTACGACTTGTGAAATTGCTCTGGAATCTGGTTGAACTTGACCTTGGTCAAACAATGGCCTCCAACCTACAAGCGATGGCCTCCACCCTATAAACTCAACAAACATTGCATCCTGAAACCGACAAAGCAACAAAACAAACAACACATTTGAAAGGTTGAGCGGTGAATGAGGTGAGTCCTGCAGCTTCCGGGTTGAACTGTTGCATCCCACATGTGTTTTGAACAACGGCCCAAGCCTTCACATCTGCGCACTGCACATAGAACTCAATGTCAACAACCTGGCGGATTCGCCAATCGACAAACAGCACCTCCGTCCATTTGTGAAGCTCACGGTCCATCCTCAGATGTGCCTGTTTTTGCGAACCAGCGCAAACCTGTGGAAACCTCAACTTCCAAGACTGACCACCCATCCCAAATCCACTGTGCTTGTCCCGAAAGGGGTCGCCTCACCATTTGGTCATGGAGATGGCCTTTCGTCGATGTGAATAGCGCTGAATGTTTAGAGCCGGCGAAGCTCAGGCTGTCTTATATTTCTGTGAGCCTTGAACCCAGCATTAGGTCAAACCTTTTCTTGTCACCCTCTTAACCTTCTCCAAGTGACCGAAGGGGCGCTTAACACACATTACCCATCGAGCAGTTGGCGCTGAAACCAATCAGGTCAGACTAGGGATGAAAGCTTCAGCGCTCCAGAGAGAACGCGAAAACTTCAAGCATTGCCTGCTGATGTGCAGTCCATTCCCATCGCAGCACGCAATGATCACATGCTGGTACTTCAGGTGGCAGCAAGACGGTGGTGGTCACAGAGGCAGGAATGTTTAGGCCTTGGAAGCGGAATGTGTCTAGGCACTGGCTACCTTGAGAAGGCACTACCTACTCAGTTACTCAGAACTTCAGCACCATGCAGAGGCCAGGTGTTGGCAGTTTAAGAATCATAACAAACATAGAAATCATGGATTATTTAATGATTACTACTAGGAACAAGGCCGCTACTAGGGGCTAATGGATTCAATCTGAAGGTGCCAAGACAATGTCTGGGTCCCATGCCATCGGGAGCACCACAGCCAGGAATGGCGGCAATTTTGAAGAAGTTGACCTCCACGATGCCAGTTCACCCAGCTAGACTTTGACTACTAGCTTACTAGCGTTGCACTTGTTACTACTAGCTTCTTGTTACTACTAGTAAGGCACCTGTTACTACTAGCGTGGCACTTGTTACTATTTGCACAGTGGCATTCTGTAAAAAGGTGGGAAAGGTGAAAGGTCGCTGGTACGAACCAGTTGAAACTTCCGGCAAAAGAGCTTGATGTATCGCGCAGCTTCGCGCAGCATTCTTTGCTACACTTTGCATATGTTTGAACCCCGGTGAATAGTATACAGTCATCCAGCATCAACAAAGCGCATCCTTTTGCGAGCTCAAAGCTGCCAAGCAACCGCATTGCTGGGATCTGCATCATAACCTGTGACAGGCACTCATAGTTCTGGTGATGCGGAAGGACAAAAGCTATCGTGGTAAGACGTGCACTGCTTCCCCTTGCCTTTCTATGGTCTCCACAAGACATTCCTTTCAAGTAGGCTTCAGGCTTCGGCAAGCCCGCTTTGAATAATGCCAAACGTTCAATAAAGCAATATCCCTGTGTTAAGTGTGAAGCATGCTGTGAAGCGGTGCGATGGTCTGTTATATAGCTTGAAGGCATTCAAGATCTTCTCCTTGGGTCACCCAACACCGATCAATGCACAGCCAAGCGTCTCAAATAGAAATAGCAATCCCCTGGATGCCCTGCTTCCATCGTCCAAGTCGCTTCCTAGGTCAACTTTGTCCGCCAAGGTCCAGCTATGAAAACGGCAACACTACCAAAGTGGGAAGAAAGTACATGCAGCACTGCAGCACCTTCTGTGATTCCAAGTTGTCTTGCTGCAGGCACTGCGTTAGCAAACCTTTACTCAGCAAACTGGTTCGTGGCTTTGCGGTGGAGTGGCCAGGATTGCTCGCACACACGACATGACAAATTTGATTATATAGATGGCAAGAGTCCTTGCTGTTTGGCGCCGTTGGCCTGTCTTTTTCATTTCAACTCCAAGGGTCAAAGGTCTCGCCTGCTTTCAGTGTAGTCTGAGGGCTGTCGTCAGGCGAAAAATCATGGCAGCGCATACCTCATTTGAAAGAACAAACCAAGAAAGCTATCAGCGGATAGCTTTTGTCTGTCGGGTTGCTCCTGTTGCTACACTTTGATGCAGACTGGCTGCTGGTGGCCGAGTAACCACCTCGATTGCCTCACAGCAACGCAAAAGGCCCATTGTTGCCCGAACTGGAATTGGCAAATTGCACAACCTAAGGTTTTAAACATCGAAATGATTGATAGTCTATATCTATAAAACATGTTCTGATGTTCTCTGAGTACCACAAGAACAAAAAGTCTTCTCCAAGCAGTCCTCTCCAAATATACCTGTGTCAAGCCTGTTTCATATACATATTCCACTTTAGGGTACTCTTGCTTGGGTACGTGACATGGACTCTTGACAACTTGCTTCAGCCAGCATTTCTCTCGAGTCCTGCATGCCTGTAGCATACCACCTACTTTGTTCCCTTGAGCGTTGCTTCAGCTCTCATGTCCCAACTGCCAGCATCATGCCTTTTCCAATAGCAAAATCTCTTATGCTATCTTGGTTTGAAACCCTGGAACTTGGAACAATGAGCAGCTGAAAAGGAACACTCCACAGTTCTGAGTATTCAGCTTCCAAACCGAATGGAAGGAGTTACAGCCGGTTGTTACACCCCAAGTCAATTGCTTTCTGGCTTCATATCCTTTGGTCAGGAAACCGGACACAAAGAGTTAACAAACAGGTAAAAAAGATCGAAGCCTGGGCAAAACAGCGGCACAATGTTTTAAAGACTCGGTGTTTGGTTGGACTTCCTGACTGGAGGACAGGAATCAACAGTACAGATCAGCATGGCAATCCTTGGAGCAAAGAATGGGAAGGGGAGACGAGGAGGCATCTTTGAAGAGCAAGATCTGTAGCTTCTTGTTCCTAGTAGTAAGGCCAGGAGCCCCTAGTAGCGTCCTTGCTCCTAGTAGCGATGCCAGG